GAGTTACCCGACGACATTCTTCGCCTCTTCGCCAGCGTCCTACGCGCTATGCAACGCACTGGCACCATCCAGAACCCCTCCTCCACGTGCCAAACCCGTGCCTCCGAAAAGGCCGAGGCGAACTCCCAACGGACCAACGACTTCTCTCGGTGCTTTCCGTCTGGATGTATGCGTGGGAAGCGCCAGCTTACCGCAGCCTCACGGATTGGCGGAAAGGATGGACCCACGCCACGAGCTTTGGCGCTGTTCCCAAAGAAGCTACCATTGGGGACGTCAGCACCTCTCTCGCCCTGCGCATCGAGCACGCCAGGGCTTTACTCCTGCCCTTAGCTGGGGCTGCCCTTGACCGACAGAAGTGTTTCGACTACCTCATCACGGACATCTGCCTTAACCTTGCGCTTCACGCGGGGTGCCCCCAAGACATCGTTACTGCCCGCAGAAACTTCTACAGTCGCCACAAACGCTACATCCGCATGAACGGAGCGTACTCTAAGGAATTGGCCAGGACCAACGGTCACCTCCAGGGAAGCTCTTGGTCCCTGGACGAAATTAAGCTGCTCATGTGTGTGTGGACCAAGAGACAGCATCGATACGTTCCGCGATCACTCAGCACTACCTTTGTTGACGACAGCAACTCCACTACCCACACCGCACCTGAGTTGCAGAAATCTCTTGATGAAACCGCCAAGTTTGATCGATTTTCAGGTCAACGCATCCACCCTGGCAAAGTGGCGGGGTGGGCGCTCACCGACGAGCTTCACACCGCCGTTACCCAGCTCACTCTGGCGGAACGGCCCTTACGCGTGGTCGACTCTTTCAAGCTCGTCGGGAGTTACATCAACGCCGAGGCAGCGCCGGCTCCAGCCGCGCTTAACCTCACGGCCACCGCTGACGCCCGTGTTCGCAGGGCGACTAGTCGCCTGCCGCGCATTGGCAAGCTCCCATCACCGATGCATATTAAGGCGCGGCACGCCCGTTCCCTTGCTGCCAGCGTCTGTACCACGGGCACCGACATTCAAGCCCCATCAGGCCCCGTCAAAACTGCCTACAACCATGCCCTTTAGGCGGCTATCCGCCCCAAGGGAAACAGGTGGGTCGAGTTTTGGACTCTCATGGCCGTGTGCGTCCCAGGACACGCCCTGGAGATTGACGCCATTACGCAGCGTGAAGTCTTCCTGTGTCTGCGGCGACAGGTTAACCGCGACGCTACTCTCTGCGGTCTCGTCTGGGATCTCCAACACCATGTCCAGACCCTATTCGGGGGAGGACCTGTCGGACGACTTGTCCAGACGCTTCAGCAGCTCCGTTGGACCTGGCCCACATTTGGCATCTTGTACGACGACTGGGGCTGTCAGATCAGTTGGCTGAACTTACCCCAAAACGCCTTCCTTCACATGCTGCGAGCCTCACAACGCAGAGCCTTTCTGAGAAAAATCAAGCCACGGCGTCATGACCTTGGACACCTGGCCTCTGTCAGACAGGGCCTCGACCTCTTCGCCAGCACGTGGCTCGCCCGAACAAAGGAGCAGCCAAATGCAACGCATGGCAGCTGGCGCTCCTCCTTAACTACCTGTCGGGCGGGGACCACACCCAACAGCGACGATCCCGATCAAACACGTCCGCTGACCCCAGCCCCATCTGCCGATACTGCGACGAGGAAGAGGAAACTCAGGAGCACACTGTTCGCGACTGCAAGTGCTGGGCCCGAGAAAGAGTCCCTCTCACCACCCTCATCAGTGACGAGCAGTGGGCCCGTCTTCCGCCGCACACAAGTCACTGCGGGCTCTTCGATGAAGACCCAGCCCTCCTCGACCTGCAGGCCGACCTCGCGAGGGACCCGCTACCTCAGCCCATACCGCGGCCCCCACCTGAGGGAGATCCTGCGGCTTCAGCCAGGACTCCTACACCACCTACCTTGACCATGACACTGGTTGGACATGGGTCTACGCTGCCACGGACGGTGCATGCACCAACCAAGCCATCCCATTGCTAGCACGAGCGGGCTACGGCGTCTACTACGGCATCGACCACCGCATGAACTACAGTGCACGCGTTCACGGCATCACGCAGAACGCACAGCTTGCGGAGACCCTCGCCATTGTCACCTCACGGCATGTGCTGAACGGCCCGTACACGTTTTCGTGGACAACCAGGCGGTGGTTGATGGTTTCCAAAGGATCATCGACGGACACTCACCACCGCAGGGCACGCACGTGGAGCTCTGGGAAAAAGGTACACCGATGCGTCATGGCCAAGCCCAACATGTTCCGCGTCGAGAAAGTCGCCAGCCACCAGGGCGACATGGGCATCGACCTCGGGCTCATCGGGCCCATCGCGGAGGAGTTCAATCGTCAGGCTAACGCCCTCGCCACAACGGCGGCACGTACTCATAACCTTCCAGACGACATTGTCGAAGCTGCCAAATCACGACATCGCCAAGCGACCGTGCTTCATGGAGTCGCTGTCGCCATCTACGAGCGTAGACACCGTACACTCCCCCTCCCACACCGCAGGGCTGGGTTCACAGCTGCGGAACTCAACAAAATGGAACCAAATCCCCTGCTGTCTGACCAGGCACACCCGCGGCTGGACCAGACATCCCACAGAACCCGGACGAGCTCTGGGCCGAGGCCCAACGGGCGATATTCGACGAACAGGAGGACGACCCGGTCGGCTTTGGTGGGGGCCTTGACTTCCTGGGCGACGGGCCAGCCAGCGCCAACCCTGCCCCGTCGGGCACCCGCACGGCGCCCTCGACTCCGCCATTGAGAGCGGCAGCGCACCCACATGACAACGCCGCTCACTTTCAAGACGCTGACGAACAGGAGGATGACCTGTTCAGCTTCGGTGGGGGATCGGACGCTTTGGACGACGGACCAGCCAGCGAAAACCCCGCCCCGTCGGGAAACCTCTCGATCCCTACTGCGACTCCGTCCCCGAGAGCGATACCGCCCACATACGATGATATCGGCCACCGCCAAGACGCCGACCATGACCTGGGTGACCCCCGCGGACTGAGTGGCATGGAGGACGCACCGCCGATACCACACGCTGCCGACCATGCCGCCCTACCGAGACGCCAACCTTCTACGCGACCGACCTCAGAGCCCTTGCACGGCATCATGACTGGTCCCACCGCGCAAACCACTCCGCCCCCCCACCACCGGCAGCCCGCGGGGGCGGCTTCAGCCCCCCCGCAGGGTACTAAACCAGACAGGCCCTCGTGCCCCATCCACGCTTCCATCGTTGCTGAGCGAGAGGAAGCGGCTCTCCCGACCTCTCGGGGCGTGGCCCTCGCGGCTCCAGCCCTGGGGTCGCGTGGGCCCCTCCAGTCACCCTTCAAGGGTGACGGACGACAGCGTACAGGGTGCCGCACTACGCTAGTCCACCATTTGGACAGGCGTACCGAGGACCTCGCCTCTGTCTCGAGGCTCTCGGCTGCTGGCACTGAGCAGCAACCCCTCACCGACCGCGAAACCGAGCTGTCACAGGCTATGGCTGCTCTCCAGCAGAGGTGCTTAGCTCTCGCCGCGGACCTCGCCGCCGCCCAAGCTCGTCAAGGCCCTCTACTCCAGCGCCTCCACAGCGCTGGGCGAGCCTTTGCCGAGCTGCTCACGGCCTCGCCCGATGGTGCCGTGCCGTCACTCACCATCCAAGCTATGCTGTCATCGTTCCGCGGCGCTCCACCTGGTGCCCCGCGCTAGTCTCCTCCTTTCTGCCTGCCCGTGTGTACGCGTGGCTCCGCGTCCACGGTGTCAGGGCGTGGGGGCGGGGGGTGCCCCGTCACTGCGCGCCGCTTAGCGGCCAAGCGCCCAACTGGCGGTCTGCCAAGCCGCCTAGCCACGTGTCAGCACGTCGCCTTTTCTTGTTGGGGCCTCTTTCCTTACGCGGTCTGACAGGTGAGATCATCATCGTCTGTCCGCCGTCTGTAGCGTCTGTCGCACTGCGCCGGGGGAGGGGGTTTTTGTTGCCCGCCCTCGTATCTTAAGGCTGCACCGCCGCAAATAGTGCATGCGAGTTGTCGCACCGCAGTGCGCCTCGCGGACGGACCCTGGTCCGCCTACTTGTCCGATCTCTCTCTCTCTCTCTCTCTCTCTCTCTCTCTCTCTCTCTCTCTCTCTCTCTCTCTCTCTCTCCCTCTCTCTCTCTCTCTTTCTCTCTCTCCTCTCTGCTCTCTTCGCTCTCTCTCTCTCTCTCTCTCTCTCTCTTCTCTCTCTCTCTCTCTCTCTCTCTCTCTCCCCCCCCCCCCCTCCCCCCTCCAACGTCCTCTCGCAATATCTTGTTTCGCTTGAGACATCCTCAAACAAATCTCGCGTTTCGCTTGAGACGTCCTCGAAAATTCCTCGCTTTGCTTGAGACATCCTCCTTGTTTCGCTTGAGACATCCTCAAACAAATCTCGCGTTTCGCTTGAGACATCCTCGAAAATTCCTGTCTTTGCTTCAGACATCCTCCTTGTTTCGCTTGAGACATCCTCGGCGAATATTTCGTTTCGCTTGCGATATCCTCTAGCAATTGCTTGCGTCGCTCGAGAGTTCCTCTCCCCCCTCCCCCCTCCGTCCTCGATCGATCCTCGGATCGAGGGTCCAAGATTCTCGAGCCAGGGATCCGAGATCTTGCGATCTCGGATCAACGATGGCTCGAGGCTCTCGGAGCCTCGATCCGAAGATCTATCGAGGATCGCGCCTCGAAGAGGAGGGAGACATTGAGGCAGAGGGTCGATCCTGTATCGACCCTCCGATCGAGAGTCCAGAGTTCTCGGGCCAGGGATCCGAGATCTTGTGATCTCGGATCAACGATGGCCCGAGGCTCTCGGAGCCTCGATCCGAAGATCGATCGAGGATCAAGCCTCGATGGAGTTACGCTCGATTTTACGCTCGAGAGGGGGCTGACGAAGCCTCTCGGATAACGCCTCTCGAAAAAACTCGAGGGAGCTGGGCGCTCATCGCCGCTCGCTCCTCCCCCAGGCCTCGATCAGGCCTCGTGCTGAGCCTGGCTCGGCTCAAGCCTGCGCCTCGGACGTCTTGAGCTCCTGCTCGCGCTTCTTCTCGTCGCACATCTCCTTGTACTCCTCGATGATCTTGTAGTAGCTCGGAAACTTCTTCTGGGCGTAGATGTCGAAGAAATTCTTCTCGTACTCGAGCTTCTTCTGGTACTTGGTGTCCTCGTCCATCTTGGCGCGCTTGATGAAGTGCCCGTGTTGATCGAGCTCGTGGCGCTTCTTGGCGAACTCGGCGATTTGCCAGCACCAGGCGACGATCCCCTCGGTCACGAGGATGCGCTCGTTCTCGTAGTTCTCGATGCTGTTTGCCTGGAACTGCTCGAAGTATGGCTTGTCGAACGCGCGCGCGCCCTCGTCTGGCTCGTCGCTGTCGCTCGGCAAGATGGGCTTGCACTGCTTGTTCTGGGAGCATGATCTCGCACAGCGCTTGCAGATCTGCGGGGGCCCCGCCGAGCGCTCGCCTGACAATGTCGGTCGCGGGCCCCTTGGGCATCATCTCGACCTTCTCGCCGACCATGGCTTGTGTCTTGGCCTCGTCGAGCAACTCCGCTCGGAAGCTCGGCAAAATCTTGAACAACGTCTCGACGCTCTTGTCTGCGTCGTCGAAGGCGTTGAACGTCTCGCCGCTCCGCTCGATGGGCGCCTTGAAGAAGATCGCACAGAAGAGCTCGCTTCGGCGCCGATCCGTGCCTCGGAAGATGCCCTCGTACTTGATCCCCTCGAGGCTTCCATTCTTGAGGACACTCGCCAACACGGCGCCTCGAATATTCCTGTGGTACAGCGCGGAGCTCCCTCGACACCACATCCCCAACATTCTCGAAGCGTCGGTTGCCTCGCCGCTGGCTTGGCATTGGCGCATCTCGGCGCACCCCGCCTCCTCGGCGATGTACGCGAGGCTCTGGTTCTGCAAGTCGGCAAGCTTGCCCTGCTCCTCGAGGAGCTTGGTAACTCCTTGGAGGAGCTTGTTGTTCTGCTCGAGCAGGGCGATGACTTGGCTGTCCTCGGTCATCTGCGGGCTCGAGGGCTTGGACACCGCCATGGCGAAGCTGAAGCTCGAAAGCTCGGAAGGCTCGAGAACTCGAAAAGCTTGAAACGCTCGAGCCAGAACGGTCGCGGGCGGGAGCAGGAGAATTGCTCGCTTCGCTGGAGACATCCTCGAAAACGTGCCCGTTCCGCTCGAGACATCCTCGAACAAATCTCTCGTTTCGCATCAGACATCCTCGACAAATCTCCCGCTTTGCTTGGGACATCCTCGTATACTTGTTTCGCTTGAGACATCCTCGACGAATCGCTCGTTTCGCTTGAGACATCCTCACGGAATCTCTCAATTCGCTTGAGACATCCTCGGGCGATTGCTGTTTTCGCTTGAGACACCCTTAAGAAACGTATCGTTTCGCTTGAGACATCCTTCAGTATATGCTTGTTTCGGGGTGAAGAAGTGGTTCTCCGGCTGCGACGTTTTCGCTTGAGACATCCTCGAGAATATTGCTGTTTCGCTTGAGGGCATTCCTCGGACTAAGCTTCTAGGGTCAGCTCGGGGTGGGGACATTCCGTCGAGTATTATTGCTCGCTTCGGCTTGGGACATCCTCGCCAAGCTTCTCGAATCGCTTGAAATCATACTTCGCATAATTGCCTGGTACCGCCTTGAGACATCTCGAGGATATTGCTTCGTTTCGTTTGAGTTCTGCTCCAAAAAATTTCCTTGGTTTCGCCTTTTGCCATTCCTCACAGAATTGCTGTTTTCGCTTGGGGTCATCCCGAAGAATACGTATATTTGGTCTTTATTACGTTTTTTTTTTTTTGTCCCCGCCCTCTTGGGGTGGGGGTTATGTGGGTGGTAAAAAAAACCCAAAATTAATTTTGTTACTCATTCAGTATATTGCGTGTCCTTCGCTTGTGGGGGACATCCTCGTGTATATTGCCTTGTTTCGCTTGAGGACAATCCTCGGGGCATTAGCTTTTCCTTCGAATTTCCAGCATTGAGACTATTGTTTATTCTCTGATTTTGCTGGTTTCGCTTGAGACATCCTCGAAACATTGCTCGTTTCGCTTGAGTCTGCCTCCCAAAATTCTTGGTTTCGCTTGACACATCCTCACAGAATTGCTGTTTTCGCTTGAGACATCGCTTGGGACATCCTTAAGAAACGTATCGTTTCGCTTGAGACATCGATCAGTATATGCTTGTTTCGCTTGAGACATCCTGGAGTATGTGCTTGTTTCGCTTGAGACATCCTCGGCAAGCTTCTCGAATCGCTTGAAACATCCTCACAGAATTGCTGGTTTCGCTTGAGACATCCTCGAAACATTGCTCGTTTCGTTTGAGTCTGCCTCCCAAAATTCTTGCTATCGCTTGACACATCCTCACAGAATTGCTGTTTTCAGGAATATTGGAGACTGCCTTATGAATTACGTATCGTTTCGCTTGTTGAGGTCACCCTTCTAGTTTTTTATGTTTTGTTTCGTTTGAGACATCCTCGAATATATGCTTGTTTCGCTTGAGACATCCTCGACAAGCTTCTCGATTCGCTCGAGACATCCTCGAGTATATGCTTGTTTCGCTTGAGACATCCTCGACAAGCTTCTCGAATCGCTTGAGACATCCTCGCAGAATTGCTGGTTTCGCTTGAGGCATCCTTGAAACATTGCTCGTTTCGTTTGAGCCTGCCTCCCCAAATTCTTGGTTTCGTTTGAGACATCCTCACAGAATTGTTCCCTTAACGTATCGTTTCGCTTGAGACGTCCTTCAGTATATGCATGTTTCGCTTGAGACATCCTCGAGTATATGCTTGTTTCGCTTGAGACATCCTCGACAAGCTTCTCGAATCGCTCGAGACATCCTCGAGTATATGCTTGTTTCGCTTGAGACATCCTCGACAAGCTTCTCGAATCGCTTGAGACATCCTCACAGAATTACTGGTTTCGCTTGAGACATCCTTGACACATTGCTCGTTTCGTTTGAGCCTGCCTCCCAAAATTCTTGGTTTCGCTTGAGACATCCTGAAAAAAGTGTGATCGCTTCGCTTGATGTTGCTATTTCAACATAACTTGATCTTGCTATGTCAACATAACGTTCCGAGGTGATAATGAAGTTTGGCCCCCGCGCCCCGCGCCCCCGACCAAACTCTTATTGGTCGACGATAAAAAACTCTAACGACTTAAGGGGGGGTAACATTATTATCATGGGCGTGGGGTTAAGCTTCTGACAGCTACGACTACTGGTATCAGCTATAGTCTCACCACCTCAGTACTTACGCTATTATTGGGACAGTTGCGACCGGGGGGGGGGGTCGTCAGGGACCCAAGGGCGTTCGCGGCCGAACTCCCCGACGGAGCTGCCTCAGCTGGAGTCCCTTCTTTTATTTACCGACCCTGTCAAGGCGAAGGGCGGCTCCATGAGCCCTCCAGTGGGAGCGCAGTCGTTTGGCTGGAGCGCAGCATGTCGCCTGACCTTCACCTCCAAGAGCCGCGAGCCGTGCCATCGCCGAGCCACGAGCGAGCTGCCCGAGACTCGTGGGTGAGCAGTTCGTGGCCCGAAAGCAGGCTGCAGGAGGGAACAAGCCGAGCATGTGCGGTGAGCGCAGGGCTGTGTGCTGGAGGGGCGTGCGCCAGGCGTCCTCTCCTCTTCCGCCGCGCACCGCGGCCCAATTTGCATCTGGCGCGCCCCACTGATGCCCGATCGCCGGAGCTATGACCTCTGCCCAGCCGTCGACGCAAACATGTTGGAGGGGCGCATGCGCCCCGAGCCCTCGCCTCGCAGGCAGGGGGCCAACCTGCCGCGCCGCCGCTCGGGGGCCCTCCATGCAGCAGTGATCTTCGGCCAGGGGCGCCGTGGCACGTTAGATTCGCCTGGCCCGAGTGGGCCCCGCGTGTCCTTTGTGATTCGATCCTCGATCCTCGATCTTCGACCCCGATCCTTGATCCTCGCTCCTCGCTCCTCTTCGAGGACAGCGCAACCCACCCCGAACCCCAGCCAGGGCCCCCACTCCGAGTCGGGTGATCCAGGGGGTCGTCGCTGGGTGTGGAAAAAGGGTTTTCTTGTTTGTAAACTCCACCCATGCCCACCAGTCAGGACCCCCCTGGATCACCAGGTCGGGAGTGGGGGTCCTCGCTGGGGGTGGGGGTGGGTTGTGCTCTCCTCACGATCGCAATGGTGGCATTAAACCAGAAATTGGCCTGCCAGCAGGCGCCGCACGGGAATTCTTTATACTCCGATGTCCCTGGGGGCCCGCAGAAACTCTGGGGTGCCTTGGGATGCTCAGTGACCGTCGGCAAATGTGCCCTCATTCTATAGAGCGCGAGTCAATACCGTGCGTACCTATACGACCACCCTTCGGGTGATAAGGAGGTTCGGGGGGGGGGGAGGATGCAGCGTCTCACTCGATCGGTCTGACTATCCATCTCACTATCGGTCTCGCTCGATCGATCTCACTCGATCGATATCACAATTGATATCACTCGGTATATCTCATTCGCTCGGTCTCACAATTGATCTGATTATCGATCTCACAATCGATCTCACATTCGGTGTCACTATCGATCTCATTACCGATATCACAATCGATCTAACATTCAACGTCATCATCATCATCACCAACACCATCATTTTCATCGTCATCGGGACACTGTCGTCATCATCATCATCATCGTCATCATCATCAACGCCATAATCAGGCCATCATCATCATCCCCATCATCATCCCATCATAGTCAGCAACATCATCATCATCATCATCATCATCATCATCATCATCATCGGCACACAGCCTTCGTCATCATCACCATCAGCATCATCATCATCATCATCGGGACACCATCATGGTCACCGTCATCGTCATCGTCAACATCATCAACAACATCGGGACACTATCATCATCATTTAAACAGAATCATCATAATCAACAGCATCATCAACATCATCGGGACAATCATCATCAGCAGCATCATCGTCACCAACATCATCATCATCACTATCATCATCGGTACACCATCACCATCACCATCATCATCACCACCGTCATAATCATCATCATCGGGATACCATAATCATCATCAGCAGCATCATCATTACCAACATCATCATCAACAACAACGGGCAGAAACATCAACATCATCGTCATCTCATCATCATCAACAACATCATCAACATCACCAGCGGGACACAGCCATCGTCATCATCACCATCAGCATCATCATCATCATCGGGACACCATCATGGTCACCATCGTTGTCATCGTCAACATCATCAACAACATCGGGACACCATCATCATCACCAGCTCATTAGCATCATCATCATCATCAACAGCATCATCAACATCATTGGGACACCATCATCATCAGCAGCATCATCATCACCAACATCATCATCAATATCATCATCGGTACACCATCACCATCACCATCATCATCACCACCGCCATAATCATCATCATCGGGATACCATAACCATCATCAGCAGCATCAGCATTACCAACATCATCATCAACAACAACGGGCAGAACATCAACATCATCGTCATCTTATCAGCATCAACATCATCATCATCATCATCATCATCATCATCATCATCATCATCATCATCACCAGGACACCATCATCGTCATCATCATCACCATCAACACAACCATCATGATCATCATCAACATCATCATTATCGGGACACCGACGGGGCACCGACGGGACACCGGCGGGACACCGCGGGCCCCCGGCCGCCCGGAAGGGAGTCATTTGGTCCGGCCGCGCCTCAGCCACACGGGACACCAGCGGGACACCGGCGGGACACCGCGGGCCCCCGGCCGCCCGGAAGGGAGTCATTTGGTCCGGCCGCGCCTCAGCCACAGGAGACTTTCTCTCGCCCGCCCACGCAGCTTCGCCTCGCCCGCACGGCACGCACGAACACGAAACCGAAATCGATTTCCCGGTGGGGGGGCTCTCCGTTCCACTTCGATCTCACCCCCTCACCTCCGATATACTGCACCTGGTGCGGGGCCTGGTAATCGCTGTGGGACCAGAACACCACGCACACCTGGGCAGTGTGGA